TTGGGTCTGATTTAGAAGGGGAAAAAACGTGTTAGTACTTTACAATATTGCTAGTGGAAGAAGCATAAAGAATGCCTTTTTCCAAAATACTCCCTCAGTCTCGTATTAGATGGACATCTTACTAAAAATATTTATTTCATATTACTTGATCACTTATTAAATTAGAATAGAATTAATCAAAAAAAATTCATCTACCCCTATAATTAATATGACCTTTGCAAGTTTAAATAAATTCTGAAGATCTAAGAATTTCTTTTTTCAAGAAGCTAATTAATACTCCCTCCATTCCATATTAAGTTAATTTTTGAGGTGTTTCACACCCTTTAAGAAAAGTAGATTAAGACATAAATTGAACCTAGTTTTCCATTTTTACCCTTATTAATTATTGTCAAATTTATGATTAAAATAACTAAATATTAATTAATCACTAATTCCAATACTAATTAATGAAGGGTAAAATTGGAAGAACACTCTAAAAGTAGTCTTGAAAACTGAACAATTAAGTTAATTTGAAAAATAGAAAATGCCTCAAAAATTAACTTAATATGGAATGAAGGGAGTATGAATTAAGAGCAAAATAGTAAAATTAATCAATTTATTAATGATTTTTCAATCACTTAAAATAGAAAGTATCTACGAAGATTAATCATCAACAAAAAAAATATTCAAAATCTAACGTCAGCATAGACTTTTTATAATCCTTAAGAACAATCATGTTGTTGTTTTTTCTTTCACGATTGAATTTCTAGTTTTTGATTTATTAATCCAAAAGACAATTTTTTTAGGATAAATAAATGAGAAGTCGACCAAATTTGAATGTAGAGGTGACTTTATAATTATTTAGACTATTATAAGTATATTTAATTACAAGATCTAACCATGTGGAAATTAATTTTAGATCTAATTAACATGAATAAGGATATAATCAAACCCTTATTACATGTGGAAACTGAAATTATGTCAAAAAAAATTAAAGTCAGCGAAGAACAGTAATTAAGAGATCAAGTCACACCAAAAACACGTGGAATTGATTTTAAAAAAATTCAAAGGTCAGACCATATATATGGAAAGATTCTTAAATTTGGAAACTCTCCTTGAGTGGCGTTTGATTTGTCACTAAATTATAAATTAAAAAAATGCTAATATATACTTAAAAAATAGATCGTAAACTTCTAAATCTTAAACATGGCTATTTATGTTTTCGACGAGCAAATTTGCGATGGAAATCTCATCGGAAATTTATGTTTTTTGAGTACCTCACAATTCTAATAACATGATGCAAAAAAATGCAAATTTGTTATACTTAGCAAGAATACGTGATCTAAATTAATTTGTGAACAACTTTTGTTAGTATACCATTAACTTTCTTGTACTCCTTATTCCCCAAATTTTTTAGTCGGTCTCATAAAAAAATATTAGATTTTATATTTAAAAATAATTTGACTTTAAATTCATATTTACATTTACACGTAATATAATCACACAAAAGTATTAAAATAATTTGACAAAAAAAAATTAAAAGAAAAATCTCTTAAATTTTGTACCAAATAGTCTCACATTATTGAGAATATCAATAATTCATATTATAAAAACTTTTACTCATACCCTACTTTTGCAATATACTTTTTAGGTGAAGGAAATTCAATTAACCTTTCTTGCCTTCAATTCCACCATTGATTAAAGATCAAATAAAATGTTTAACATTAAAAAATCTACATATTAGATCAAACTAAATAGAGGGAATAGTAAATTGATCAGCCGGCCTCCCTCTTTAGGTTTTTCATCCATGTTCGATTCTTGTATTAGAGTTCAATTAAATTCAAATTCACACTGGGAAATTCCACATTGGGTAAAACGCTTCCTAACAAAAGCGACTATGTATCCAAGGAGACTCAAACCCGAGACATCTAATTAAGTATGAAGAAGTACTTACCACTCCACTACCATCCTTATTAGTAACCGGCCTCCCTTACCTACCCCTATCCCACCCCACACACACAAAAAAAAAAAAAAAAAACTCTACATGACAAAAAGATATTATTGATGAGAAATCACCTTAGACAATAGGCATATCAATGATTGCATATGATTTCTTGCAACTGAATCTCCAACAAAGGCCAATGATTTTCCCCTAACAAATTCAAGAAATTGATGTGCATCAAATATAGGCAGCTCACATCCATCAGGTTTCCATTTCCACTTCAAGAAATCAGTATCAGGCCTACCATATTTCATGCAATTTTGATGTTCTTGAATTGTAAAACATGTCATATTTGTATAATATGGAGCTTCTTGATTTTCTACCCATTCCCCTGAAAATAAATCGCATTTTTCATCAGTACTATTAATAATCCTTGCTTCTTGAGGCGCCACGGAGACATGATCATCACTTTTGGTCACGTTAACTTGTTGTGTTGTACTACTATTACTACTATTGTTGGATTGGTGTTGTGTGTTAGAATCTGGAAGTGGTACCAATGAAGAAGAAGAAAGAACTTGTGAGAGTTTTTTAGGGTGCATAGAAGGATAGTATATAGGGATGAGAGTGAACAAGATGGCGAGGGCGACGAAGGGGGCAATTTTTGTAGCATTTTTCTTTCTTGTTTGTAGTTTACCTAATGAATGATCAAGATCTTGAAAATTCATGGAGAAAGAAAGAGAGAAAGAAGAAGAAGAAAAGGAGATGTGGACTTGTGAAAGAAGAAAAAAAGAACTTTTAAAAGTTGCAAATATGTAAATTCAATAAACAAATTATGGCCATGTGTAAGATTAGACTTAAGTAAGACATGAGGAAATTCGTATTGCCGTCCTTCCTTCTTCTAATTTTTAAAATTAGAGTTCAATGTATTTGGATGCTCTGATTTATAAAAGGGAAAACAACTCTTTCTACCGAAAAGGGAAACTATTTATAAGTGGCTATCTCTTATTTTCATATTTCTATTTTTAACTAGTAATGTGTTTGATACCATCAAAGTATATATATATATACACATATTCTGATGGTATCAAAGAGGAAGAACTCGTGATTCAGTGAAAACACTATTTAATTACTCTTTGATACCACTAGAGTATATATATATATATATATTTTGATGACATCAAGAAGGAACATGCAGTGTTTCAGTGAAAATACTGTTTGATATCATCAAAGTATATAGATACTATCAGAGTATATATATACTCTAATGGTATCAAGGATGAAGAAGCAGTGGTTCAGTGAATAGAACAAAGAGCCAATCAGGTAAATAGTTTGGACCGTGGGTCTAATCAGGATAAATATATTAGGTTGTCTCCAATTTAGGTATATACTTTGTTTAATAGATCTAATATGTGCAATTTTTCGGTTTATAAAATTTGTAATATATGTATATAAATGAAGTATGTATTATATATATATATATATATAATACATACTTCATTTATATACATATATTACAAATTAATTGAACTATACATATGGATAATTATGAAAATTTAGTTACTATTTAATAAATTATTGCTTCCTTCTTATTTTCTATGATATAACAAAATTAAAGGGAAGAGTCATATGAAACGGAGGGACTCACTAAAAGGCACAATCCAAAAGGTGTTGGGCATTCAGATCATGTTTTTTTTTCATCTTTTGGGTTGGACAAAGTCTTTTCCTTCTGCATATTTAAATATTACTCCTATTATTTCATTATTCATTACAAGTAAGAATTAAATATGAGTAAAAGAAAGTTAGCATTCCTTTCTATGATGAAACTAAATAGAAATCTCAACTAACAGGGAAGTAAAGGTGGTCCAACTTTATAATCATATAGTTATTCAATAATTGGAATTCTGACTCATTAACACTATATTATATATATTTTAAGTTTGCTTGTCAGCCACAGACCTTCCTAGTGATGTAAATAAAAAGGACGCTTTAAAAGAAGAAAGCAGGATAAAATATAGTATGATTTTTTTGGAATATTTATAAATTTGAATTTGTTCCTTTCTGTCTAACCAATCAATTCCTTCAACAAATTTTTAATTGGGTGAAGATAATGAGAGGTGGAATAATCAACAAAAAAAAAACAATAGGAGGGATTCTGTTTTTAGTAAAAGGCATCTGGTCGTGGTCCAGTTAGTACATATCACAACTTTATTAAATGGGTTTGATTTATTCAATATTCAATTAAATTGTGTTGATAGTATAAACATTATTCAACTTTCTTATTAAATTAAACTACTCATTTATATCGTACTCCTATAGTTCACTAATCACTACTAACAAAAAAGTAAGAACGAGTGACAAACAAATTATGTTGCTAAAAATATCATCATTTTGCTATTTAGTGATAGAATAACAACAGATTTCTCAAATTGGTATTTACTCAGCTAGTTGGTTCTTCTTTTACAGGTAATTAACGAAATTTTATGGCGTAAATTACTCGCCAAGATGTCACATTTCAAATTATAGTTGTCAAAAACTCCAAATATATTTACCACTTAACCACATCATAACCAGTTGGTCTTTCCCAAAACCACAAAGTTTAATTGCCTCAGAAAATCTGTGTCTCTCAAAATTCAGGAAAATAAATCCTTGAAATCATGCGAACTCAATGAGATCAGACACAAATGAAGACTATTCCATATACGGCTAAATAGAAGGCTTACAAAGAATCAAGTTTCTGAACACATCTAATAGTCTTAAAAAGACAAATTAAAAATGAAATGTAAAGCAACACAGATAGAAAAGATTCTTAAAGCAAATCCTAATTAGTTAACTGATTGACTAGGTACAGGAATATATTGTAGACAGTGCAATATTTTGTCAAAGTTGCTCAAGTTTAAAGAAATGAAAGAGAAACCAACTTAAGGAAAAAAAAATGATTTACTTTCCATAAACTGTATGATGCCTGCAGCCTGTAGGAGCCTATAGTAATTTGGTGAAATTAGCTTCAGAATAATAACAAGGTTCAATCATTGCGCAGAAAAACAAGAGTTTAATATCATGAGCCAACGATTTGAGTTTTTAGTATTAGACACCAGGAGAGAAAAATGTTGTAAATAATAAAAATGAAGTCTTAGCTCAGGAGCTTTGTCCATCGAATGATTTCTATATAGTTTGTACTGTTATAAGTGGACAAAGCATGTCCTACATCTCCAGAAGTCAACCTATCCATATACATCCCAAAGGGGGAGGTTGACACCTTGGTTTTCCTCTTCTTTTTTCCTACGGTAGCTTCTAATTTTAAGATCAGCTTATGGCATGTGCATACCTCCAAGCAAGCAAATTACCAGTTACGACGGTAAAGCCTTTGTAGATCCTTGCAGTGTGTGCATGTCCATGGAAACAATGGAGGATCCAGACAATAGGAATGAATACAGAGAGTCTCGCAGAGATGACACTTGACTAGTAGGTCCTCTGGTTCTCGACAAGAGCATTGACAACAGACTGGAGTTCTTGATGACTACATAAACCAAAATAACAAAAAAAAAATGAGCTCGGGAAACTGAAATGCAAGATGCAAACACATAACATATTTCACCCATGTTCTTCTCTTCTTCATGAATGTTTGGATAGACACAAGTTTTAGCAAAAACATTAAAGCAACTCAGGCAAATCATTAGAACATGTAGAATAAATAACACATTGACACAAATTACCCAACAGTCTTCTCATATTGCTGAATCACATATTGAAATAAACAAAAGAGCTGTTTTGCTATTCAATTCTGCCCAGACTAGCCCAAAAGGGCATCTTTTTGATGTACCACTCTGTTACTCTTTTTATTAGGAGATTTCAACCACAACAGCCATTAAGGATAGACAATGACAATACATATGGAATGAAAAGCATGTGTCACCACCAACATTCAGTGCAAATCTTGTTCCATAATTTCAAGTGAGATACTTTAACCTACTTCATTTGCTTTGTTTTCTTGCTATTTTGCAGTTGTCATTACCTTTATATCCTGCTTTGATTACACTTCTTTTGAGCCAAGGGTCTATCGGAAACAATCTCTCTATCCCAAAAAGTAAGGGTAAGGTCTGCGTATATCCTACCCTCCCCAGACCCCACTTGTGGAATTACACTGGGTATGTTGTTGTATTCTTTAACCTACATTTTTGGCTTCAACCTATATTAACTGGATAGAAGTTTTCAACTTTAAAATTGTTTTCTTGGTTACTGGTTTTTGAAAAGTCAACAGTGCCAAGGGGAATAACCCTAAGTTGGCTGTGGACAGGTATGCCTATAAGTAACCATGCTTCAAGAACAGTACGGGGGCAACTCTTTAATACTAAGTTTGAAGAATAAGATGAGCATCAGAAGTAGTGGAAGTAAGATACCCACTTTGATCTATAAAACTGAATAGCATGATACAGGCAACTCAATGTCCCAGTCACACTCATTACACCAAATAGGAAAATGTTTAGGCTATTTATGCATCCAACTTCAAGTGTGATCTTTGTCTGCACCTGTAGGAAGAGAAGGCGCACGGATGCAGAAAAGGTATCCAATAGTATGGTAATACATGTTAGTTGGTGACAATGATGAGATATAGATATTCACATCAATGTACAGCACAAACAAACAGGAGGTGATGTTCTCCACATTACAAAATAGAATGAAAACTGACATTGAACTTACACTAGAAGGTAACCTTGGTGTTACACCCTCGGGAAGTATATATATGTCCGTTTCTGGATTCTGCTCCGGAATAGTTTGGGTGTATATCCTTTGATCAGCAGGAACTGCATCATCAACCTTTCTAATGGCAACAAAACTAGCCTTGCACAAAGGGCATGTTGATACTTTTCTGTTTGATGCCTATGATGAGGGCATTATGAAAGGTAGATATCAATTGAAACAAAAGAAACACCCAAGAATCACAAGTTGCACTTGCATGCATAAATGAAATTATACATCTCATCATGATGACATGCCAAAATTGGAAGTGAATAAAAAAGGAAACTTCCACCAGACAATTAAAAAGACAGATGGGAAATTTACCATATGATTGGCCCATGTCTGGATGCATGAGAAACAAAAACGATGACCACAGGGAAGCACCCCCCTGTATGAACTAAAGTCTGTCCAACATATGACACAGGATAATGCGGTTGATGTAGACACTTTGCAAGTATTACCAGTCTCATTTTGGACCTCATCAATAGCTGGGCATGGCTCTTGTTGATTTCCAGTAAGATTAGAGGAGGCACTTTCTATTTGTAAACTCTGATCACCATTATCAAGAGGTCTGTTAACTTCAGTTTCATCAAGACCATCCAGGTCTATTCTACTTGGCTCTGACTGATAGCAGCTAAAACCAGATCCATGCCTATTGTTCACAGAGATTTCTGGCATTTCAACATCCAAGTTGTAAAATTGTGCTGAAGTTTCAAGTTCCTGACGAGCTTGTATTTGGAAACTATGTTTCCCTGAACCCGAAGTAATCTCCAGAAGATCCCCACTAATGTTCTTCTTCATCAATCTACGACTTCTGCGAGAAGTTTCACAAAATTCAGAACTTCTCTTATTGGATTTAAGGGAAGCCGAAGAGGCCAAATTCAGTTCTTCAATCTACACGAAAAATATTAGGAAAAGAAGAGTATCAACTAAAGTTTCAAAGTGATCGAATAAATAATGACAGTCTGAATGTTATTACCTCTATCCTATGTGAGCCTTGTAAAGAGTGCTCATCGGAACAATATTCGCTGCTGGAAGGGTGATCCTTATTTTTATTATTGACATTTGATTTCCTCCTTGGTCTATCCTTGTATTTACCCATCTCAGGAAATAAATTCTGCAGCCAGTAGCATACAAGCAAGAAATGAAGCTGTGTTTTATACATCTTTTATATAGATGTGTTTCAGCACACATTTTGCAGTACAATATATATCCAATACTTAGAGCCATAGAGATGTTTGAACGAACATTCTAAACAAAAAATATTATAAAATTGGGAATGCAAATGTAAGAATAAACATGCACAATTGATTTAAACTGAATCAATGTGTTGTTTCCCTTAATTACCTAAATCTCAGGTGCTAATTTAATGATAATTCTTCCATTTACTTTTTACTTTTGATTTGCGACTGATCTTTCAGCTCCTTTTACTGAAAGAAGAAAGTGAAGTTTTTGTCTACTGCTCAATCAGACCAAACTTGAAAATTGTATGAGTCAATTGACATAGATGGAACAAAGAAAAGTAAGAATATCTCTATTCAGAAACCCAAATCTATTTTACGTGAAAATGCTAAAGCAACAGAATGATGTAATCAGCCAGGTAAACGCCAAAATATAATGTTCTGAGCAAGAAAACCATCAAGATAGTAGATAAGCAGTGGATAATTGAGTCCAGTATCAATGAGAAATGAAAAACAGATAATATTTTCAGAAAACTGCCACTCAAAAAATGCAAAGGTGCTTTTAAGGTGTTAGTACACGATCTACCACTAGAACGATCTCCTTTTTTGATATTACATAGCCCTTTGTTATAATCTGCTTAAGTTGTTGACATCCCTACCTACATTATTTGATCACTGCATTTGTTAATTCTCACCAGTTTCACTGAAAGAGCCTCGCATTTCACGGCACTTTGAGATATGTATTCAAATCAGAACCGCACAAGAGATTTCAAACTCAGCACATACTGTAGTGATGTTGGTGCATGATCAACTTCTGACCTACATTGCACTAACTCTTTTTGATAAATGACCTAGATTGCATTATAACTAGCCAAGGGCCCAAGGCATACAACATCTACGTCGTGCATAGAAAAAAATTTGTCCTAGACAAAATTTAGCTAAAGGATGAAGTTTGCACTGTGTTATTGATGCGTTTGTCGGGAAACAATATTACAGACGCAAGAATGATTAACATTTCTGAATTATTGTTTTAGTTGTTTTAGTCGAACAGAACTTTCTGAGTGATCTAGGATTCTTATTATTTTAGTTTTATAGGACTTTGTTATTCCTAAAATTTGTTGTCGAGTGTGATGCTTCGGGTGTGGGAATAGGAGCAATCCTTCAACAGCAAGGACATCAAATTGCATTTTTTAGTCGAAAGCTAGCAGACCAACACATGAAACTTCCAGCATATGAACGTGAATTGATAGGCTTGACAAAGGCTGTTCAACATTGGAGGCCTTATCTCTTAGGTCGAGCCTTTCTAATTCGAACAAATCACTACAGCCTTAAATACTTTGTTAGATCAACGTCTTACTACTTCTCCTCAACAACATTGGCATAGCAAGTTGATGGGGTTTGATTTTCAGGTGGAATACAAGGCCGGGCAATTGGATGCTGCTGCAGATGCATTATCACGGCGAGAAGAGGCTGAAGATATGTTATTTGCTATTTCTCAGCCGGATGTTTTGATATTTGAGGAAGTTCGGGCAGAAATCAAGCAGTCATCAATTCTTCAGGAACTTCAAGCTAAAATTGAACAGGGAGAGATGGATGACAATTGGGCGTTTCAAGAGGGTTGTTGTTCTTCAAAGATCGGGTCTATCTCATGCCAAATTCACCATTGGTAACTTCTGTGTTGTCTGGGATACATGATAGCAAACATGAAGGTGTTCAGAAGACCATGGTACGTATTCGCAAGGATTTCTATTGGCCAACTATGAAGACAACTATCAAGGATTATGTTGCTGCTTGTTCAGTTTGCCAACGTAATAAGGCTGTTAATTTGAGCCCAGAGGGACTGTTACAACCTTTACAACTGCCTAATCAAATTTGGTCGGATATATCCATGGATTTTATAGATGGCCTGCCAAAATCAGGAGGTAAAACAATGTTATTTGTGGTGGTGGACAGGTTCTCTAAATATGCGCATTTTATTCCTCTTGCTCATCCATATAATGCATCATCTGTAGCAAGGATTTTCTTTGAGAATATTGTTCGTTTGCATGGTATACCAGAATCGATTGTCAGTGATCGAGATGCCATCTTCACTAGTTCGTTCTGGAAAGAATTGTTTCGTTTATGTGGGACTAAATTACACTTTTCTTCAGCTTATCACCCACAATCGGACGGTCAAACTGAGGTTGTTAATCGCATGATCGAGATGTATTTCCAATGCTTGGTGGGTGACTGTCCTACGAAATGGATAGACTGGATTCCCTTGGCTGAATTTTGCTACAACACTTCTTACCATTCAGCACTTCACACATCTCCATTTCAAGTTGTTTAGACCAAGCATTAATAGATCAAGATGTTGCCTTACACAGGATATTCGAGCTAAGCTTCAACAGGCGCAACACAAGATGAAAATAGTTTATGATAAGGGACATCGCGATGTGGAATTTTCTCCAGGATCTTATGTGTGGTTACGGGTGCATCCATATCGCCAAAAAGCTCAAGCTAGTCGTGTCTATCATAAGCTTGCACCAAGATATTATGGTCCTTTTGCAGTCTTGAGGCGCATCGGTTCAGTTGCTTATCAGCTCGGTCTACCTGCAGGTTGCAAGCTTCATGATGTGTTTCATGTATCACTTCTTAAGTCATTCAAGGGTGAGGTACCTGCAACTCCACCTTCTCTTCCACCCGTTCAAGAAGGACATGTTGTTCCCACCCCTTGCTCTGTGCTTCGATCGCGTCTTAATCGTGGTAATTGGGAAATTCTAGTCCAGTGGTACAGCATATCCGTTGAGGACTCTACTTGGGAGAAAGTGCATCATTTTACATCTGTCTTTCCAGACTTCAAGCTTGAGGACAAGCTTTGTTATATTCTAGGTGTTTTGATGATCCTCACAAATACAGGGACCCGGTTCCTGCAGAGTGTTCTCATCCAGATTCAAAATGGGATACAACTGTAAAGCTGTCATGTCAGGTGGTAGGTGAAAAGTGCAGTGTTACTGCACCAATAGGAAGAGCGGACAAGATTGTCTATTTCAGTGGCTCACAAATGTAGGGACCTAGTCCCTGGCAGAGTTCTCTCCATCAGATGTATAATGGTGTACAACTATAAAGTTATCCTGTCAGTGGGTTGATGAAGTCGTCAGCGTACAGCGTACTTCACCAATAGAAACAGACGGAGTTGTTTGTCCAATGGACAATAATTCTTTTTGGTCGATACAATCAAAATGACAAACAACAAGAAGATTTATTCATTCAAAAGAGGAAGAGAGTTAGCAAGTCTTCTCAAGATCTCACAAAGAGCATTGCAAGGGACCTGGTCCCTGCAAGACTACGTATGTGAAAAGGACGACAAGATAGCTGTCAGAAAAGCTACCACCTCTGATGTGGTAGGTGCACGTCTTTCCAGAGAAGCAGGCTTTCCGCCATGGGCGGTCCCAAGAAGTTTGTGTCCTTTTGATATAGTTTCTTCTCCAAAACACAAACTCAAGATTTGGCAAACAAAAACTTGGATTTTCTCTGAAAATTCATAAGCTTGAAAAGAAGGTCATCTTCAAGGAAGAACACTGCTCAACTCAACAAAGGGACCTGATAAAGTGCTGAAAAGTCTTTGTTGTATTTTGAGCTTTGTGTCTTATGTGCTTAAATTGTAAATCAATTCCTAAGCTATAAAGGAATTAGATCTCTGTTCGGTTCATAGAAAGTCTAAGTCAGTTAGGGGTAACAAATTTAGTGGGCAACATTGTTGTTGCTTAGTCAAAGTCTAAGTCATCTAGAGTTAGGTGATTTAGTGGGCAACGGAATTGTTGCTTAGTTAAAGTCTAAGTCAGTTAGGGTTAACTGGTTTAGTGGGCAGTGTTGTATCTGCTTAGTTGAAGTCTAAGTTATCTAGAGTTAGGTGGCTTAGTGGGCAATAGAGTTATTGCCTAGTTGCTTTCTTTGTAGTAGAGTTGCTACATTGAGGGGGAAGGGATTTAGAGGTAAATTCCTAGATTACAAGAGTCTGTAATCTAAATCATTGCTCCGTTTGAGTGAAATGGAGTTTGGGTTGAAATCTTGTGAGTACAGGTTGTGGTTTTCACCGCCCTTGAGCAAGGGGTTTCCATGTAAAACTATTGTGCCTGATTTACTTTGAGAAATTTATTTTCCGCACTTTTACTTCAGCTACTGTTCTTGTTGAGTCAAGGGACCTAGTCCGTTGACTGATAGTGGACACATACATTCCAACAAGCGTTTTCTTCAGGAAGGGAGTAATGTTATTGATGTGTTTGTCAGGAAACAATATTACTGACACAAGAATGATTAATATTTCTAAATTATTGTTTTAGTTGTTTTAGTCGAACAGAACTTTCTGAGTGGATTAGGATTCTTATTATTTTAGTTTTATAGGACTTTGTTATTTCTAATTTATTAGGACTCTTGCTATTGTAAACCTTTATTTAAGAGAGTTGACATTATTAATAAAATAAGTTGGAATTTATCAAGTTTCAAAGATTCGGAACTTTCTCAAACAAGTTCCCAGGTCTGCAATTCCCTGAATGAACTGCAAATTTCAGCAATCATAGGCAAGTCAAGGAACAAGAACAGAGGCTTAGACCTGTCTATTGGACCTGACTTTTCAGTTAATCGTCCAGCGACTCAATCCAGAACTAGGGACCTTAACACACTGCAAAAATTGATTCTAAAATCCAGGAAGAGCAGGCTAATGTGGATCATTTGTCAACCCGAAGGCACATCTTTGAGCTTGAACTGTTAAACAAATGCAATTTGAACTACCTCTTTGAAGTGCGAGATCTATTTTTGAAAATGATAAAGAGCATTGATGAAAAATGAATGCACCTCTTTTAACAAAGTTGAATCCGTCCAAGAGTTGAAATCCTCTTCAGATTCAATATGAATAGCTGGTTTTTTGGAGTGATTCAATTGTATAGTTTCTGTAAGAAGTGTACTATCCAACATTAACGGCCCCACGTCTTGTCCACTGCAAACAATTGAACGCCAAGGGATTAGATTACAGGGACAGAACTGAAGATATAATTGATAGTAAGCAAGCTATACAACCAACTTCCAAATGAGCAATACAGCAGCTATCAGACAGGCAGTCATAAAGAAAGAAATTGCTACATTCTGCTAATAAATTAAATGTTGGTTAATAAATTCTAAGACATTTTGGTCCATGACTTATGTACTTCAGAAGTAAGAAATAAAAATTATTGTGATACAAGCTAAATTTGCTGTTATGAGAAGAATGAAAGAAATAAAACTACAGCTAGATTTATTGAGAAAAGGCTAATAGGATAATGCAGTCATGCATATGCATTTTCTCTTCAGAATTTTTATAAGCGCAAAAAATATTGATTAGCTAATTTTTTGTCTTTTCTTGATTCACAGCCATTAGATGACTAAACAGTGAGATTTATGTCAGTAGGCACCAGAAGCATAAAGATCTCATCAAGTAAACAGCATCAGCAGAACATGTTGTCCTACAGTAATTCTAGATTTCAGAGAAGAATGAATGCTTTTTCCATCAAAATTTCATATTATTTTATCTAGTTCTCTTCAGCTGAAGGGGGCTGCATTTGTTATGAGGAAAACCCTTCTGCAATAGGCATCAAAAAGGTCAAGTCCAGTCCAAATAAGTTTGCCTGGCAAAATAAACACTAGCTATACAAACCAAGAGAATCTTAAAACCAAAAAAACATTGCACTAACCAGTAAGCCAGTATTTAAACTTCCTCCAATTCATTGTGTTTGTTATAATTTGACTTGGCACAAAGTTTAATAAAACAAGAAAGACTTTTGACACTTGTGTGGCTATAACACTTTTGGAACTTGTGGTATTAAACATGTCATAAAATCAGTATGGCTACAAAAGCTACTTCAATAAGGAAATATAGGAATGTTCCATTCTTTTTGGAACGGACTAATAAGAAAATAGTGCCAAGCAAAGTGGAATGGAGGGAGTATACCATTGAAATGTGTAGGGAGCCTCCGGAAGACGTCTTCCTTCCTTAATACAATCTTCAACCCACTTATGGTTGATTATTGACATTTTGAACTTTTTTGCAAGCTCATATTTCTTCCCTTCAAATCTCCAACACACCTAACCAATAGGAGCAGCACACAGTCACACACATTAACACCACATGGATTCACCAAACAACTTGTCTAGCTTTTAGCATTATCCCAAGGAATGGCTCTCACCTTATGGTACCATATTAGCAGAAATTTAACTATGTTGCTCGGCCTCTTCAAAAATGTCAACGAGTGTGTGTCGGATTCGCCAAAAGTAGTGTATTTTTGGAGAATCCGACATGGGTGCGGCATCAAAAGTGAAGAGTCCGCGCAACTAAGGCAGACAGAATTTATAGAAAAGAAATTGATAGTTAAATACTCAAAAGGACCCGACAATTGAAGGTGGGGCAGCAGAAACTTAGTGATATTTCCTATACTTCAATTGGCAGAACCTTTGACCATATAGACACTGTTCTCTGAATAATCTCGGTAGATGGCTTATCTGTGGAATCTTGCAAGGTGAACAAAACCACCAAAGCTCTAGGTTTAGCACAAAAAATCAACTTAGGCTGATTATACTCATAACTGGATTTATTTTAAAGATGGTTGAGCTCACATATAGTGAAGGCCCACATCAGGCAACAATAGCCACTGAGATTAGTCTCGTGACACCAAGGTTGTAATTGTGGCTTCTTGCCCATTGGACCATCCATTTCCCCCATTTTTCGGATTTCAGTGTCGCGATTATTGATCCAAAATGCTATGTTGTCTTCTACTATTAATGATATATAACATACTTTGTTCAATTCTTTGCAGAGTCTAATAGAATTTCAAACTTTTTACATAACAAAGAGAGTAACATTATAAAATTTCCAGGTTTATAATGGAATTCGAATTGTGAAATCCTCACATACCAAATGAGTGATCGACTGATTCATTGAACCGACATAGCTTGCACCACTCTTGTCTATCAACTTGATGAGATTAAACCTCTCGGTACCATGGTATCCACTGACTGTAGCAACCACCGATTCCATGCCTCGGATAGGTAAAGGCCGGCGCTCTGAGTACCAAAAGGAATATGCAGTTCAGAAATATTGTCTACCGGATAAAACGATGAAACGCCTAAAATTAAACCCTATATAGCAGATAAATGTTGCTCCGCAAAGCACAGAAGGTTGTTCTACCTTTGTTATGCCGTCGCTTCGCCTCTTCCTCTTCCATGGAAGCTCTGCAAGCGTAGTGCCTTTGCCGGGAATGGGAAATTTTTGAATTTGTTGATTTGTATGCCGCGGTTTTGAATAAAAGCACGAAAATGTTTTCGGGTCGGGTTTCTCACGGTCTTACAAGACTTAATTTTTCCATGCTGTTATTTTCTAATTAGCATTTACATGTCATATATTCGAAATATTAGATTGTCTTCTACATGTTTTTATCTTGGCCTTTATCTTTGTTTTGCAAAGTCCATACATCCAAAAGTTCACACTTCAAGGTGGAGGATTCAATCGTGTATGAAGAGAATAACACTCTCAGGTGGGTGATTAAATTGGTGAAAATAAGGAGAAATGGTTGTAACTTGTATGTGTATTGTGTTGTAAAACTAAATGGATACCATGTGGGCCATCCCTTTAATAGTCATCACTTGACATACCAAATGAATGCCATGTGGGGCACCCATTTAAGAGGTGTCATCACTTGGCCAAGTGGATAACTTCTCAATGGCCAAGTGTTGGTTTGTATATTTCTCATTGGCTATAAATAGCCATTACTTACTTTCACAAAGGTAGATAGAAGAAAAGTTTGAAATATATAATGCTCTCCCTTTGTTTGTTCTTCTTATTAATTTAGTTTATTAATATTAGTTTGTTAGCTAGTTATTTTATAACACGTTATCAGCACGGGACTCTGCCAATTTGAGCTACTCTAAATAGGTAAAAAGGGTAAGAATCTTATTTTTCTAAAAAATGTCTAATATTTCTAAACTTGAATTTGTTGCCTTGAATATATCGGGAAAAGGATACTCGTCATGGATACTAGACGCTGAAATCCACCTGGATGCGATGGGTCTGGTAGACACCATCAAATCAAAGATAATAACGAGGCATCCAGCCAAGAACGTGCAAAAGCTATGATATTTCTCCGCCACCATCTTGATGAGGGGTTGAAAATGCAATACCTCGCCATTAAAGACCCCCTTATACTGTGGAATAATTTGAAAGATAGATATGATCACCTGAAGTTGGTCATTCTTCCACATGCGCGTCATGCTTGGTTTAATTTGAGGTTACTAGACTTTAAAAGTATAACTGATTCCATGTCTAGAATTATATCACAGTTAAATTTATGCGGAGAAGATGTCACTGAACATGATAAGCTTGAGAAAACATACTTCACATTTTCTACCTCGAGTATGCTCCTGCAGCAGCAATATCGAGAAATGGGTTTTAAAAAATATTCTAAATTACTTTCACACCTTCTTATTGCTGAATAGCATAACGACTTACTGATGAAAAAACATGAAAGTCGGCCCGTTGGTTCTACGCCACTCCCTAAAGTGAATCAGGCAAATTATCACCAACGAGAAAAGAGGTTGTGGCTCCAATCGGGGCAGTGGTCGTAGAATAAATTATAATCATGATGATCGTCTTGCACCAAAAAATGACCAGCAATATAAAAAGAAGGGTAAAAAACAAGAAGTGATACAAAAGAAAAATTCAAAAAGTGTGTGTCACAGATGTGGAGGAATGGGCACTGGTCACGTACATGTCGATCATCTAAGCATTTGGTTCAACTCTAACAGGCATCCTTGAAAAAGAGTGATAATAATCCAGAAGCAAACTTTATCTCTAAAGATAATGTTGAGCTCATACATAAGATGGATAATAGTGCAGAAGCAAATTTCATCTCCGAAGATAATGTTAAGCCTATGCATTTGGATGTAGTTGATTTCTTCGTATTCCCTGAAGGAAAAACAACTAGTGACGACCCCGCGATAATCTAGATAATTTCTTTTTCTGTTTGTTTAGTTGGTATGTTTATGTTTTCCTAGTCCTTGTAAATATAGTATCCTTGTTTAATACTCCCTCCGTCCACAATTGTTTGGCAGGTATACTAAAAATAGATGTCCAAGATTAATTGTCAATTTAAACAATCAAGAAATAATTAGTCACTTTTTTCCAATTCTGCCCTTAATGATTGTGTAGTTCAATTGAAAAGTTATGTGGACTTTTGGTATTTTTGATATAGTAGGGTTATATTAGTCAAATTACACCTTGCATTAAATTTTCCTTGAGGGATGTGCATGACCTTACCCTGACAAACAATTGTGGACGGAGAGAGTAGTAATATCTCACTTTGTTTATATTTGTTTTGAAGAAAATATGGATACGCCTCAAATTTCGTTAGGATCAATAGTAGATCATGCGGACATTTGTGTAGTTGTCAGTGGAACAACACATGCCATATTTAAAGATAAAAAATACTTTTCTTACTTGCTTAGAAGAAAAGCAAATGTTACTACAATTTCTGGTAATTCGAAATTGATTGAAGGCTCCAGAAGAGCTACTATATTTCTGCCTAAGGGGACAAAACTTGTTATAAAAGATGTGTTGTTCTCTTCAAAATCCCTAAGAAACTTGTTAAGTTTCAAAGATATCCGCTTAAATGGATATCATATTGAGACACTAAATGAAATGAATATTGAATACCTTGGTATAACCAAGTATGTCTCAGGCCAGAAATACATTTTGGAGAAATTACCAACCCTATCTTCTGGCCTATATTATGCAAAAATGAGTACAATCGAAGCACATTCAATCGTAAATCAAAAGTTTATTGATTTAAATATGTTTATGTTATGGCATGACCGAATAGGTCATCCTGGATCAATAATGATAAGACGAATCATTGAAAATTCAAATGGACATCCATTAAAGAACCTGAAGATTCTCACGAGTGATGAGTTTTCATGTGTTGCTTGTTGTGAAGGCAAAATGATTACTACGCCATCTCCAATGAAGATTAACATTGAATCCCCTCAATTTTTAGAACGTATACATGGGGATATCTGTGAACCTATTCACCCATCTAGTGGGTTGTTAGATATTTTATGGTCCTAATATATGCATCTTCAAGATGGTCTCATGTGTGCCTCTTATCGTCTCACAACCTGGCGTTTGCAAAATTATTGGCACAAATAATAAAATTAAGGGCGCAATTCCCAAATTATCCTATTAAGGCTATTCACCTTGATAATGCTGAGGAATTTACATCCCAAGCTTTTGATGATTATTGTTTATTAACTGGGATAAGAATTGAACATCTTGTTGCTCATGTTCATACTCAAAATGACCTAGCAGAGTCATTTATTAAGCGCCTACAATTGATTGCAAGACCACTACTTATGAAAACGAAATTGTCCACTACAGTATGGGGTCATGCTATCTTACATGCATCAGCACTCATTCGTCTTAGACCAACAAATTATAATAAATACTCCCTGTCACAATTGGTATTTGGTCATGAACCAAATATTACTCATTTGTGAATTTTTGGATGGGTTGTATATGTGCCGATAGCACCACCTCAGCGCACTAAGATGGGCCCCCAAAGAAGGTTAGGCATATATGTTGGGTTTGATTTACCCTTCATAATTCGCTACATTGAGCCATTAACGGGAGATTTGTTCACTGCAAGATTTGCAGATTGTCGATTTGACGAAACAATTTTCCACAATTAGGGGGAGAGAAAAATGAACTTAAAAATGAAATTGCATGGAAAGTTTCATCATTATCTCATTTTGATTTATGTTCCTCTATATATGAACATGAGGTCCAGAAGATCATCCATTTGCACAACATAGCAAATCAAATGCCAGACGCATTTACTGATTTGAAAAGGATAACAAAGTCACATATTTCTGCAGTGAATGTGCCTATCCGGATTGACATCCCAAAAGGACCATCTACAAGTGTCATGACTTCTGAATCCCAAACACACCTGAAGTGTGGGAGACTATTGGGTTCAAAAGACAAAAATCCTAGAAAAAAAAGCGCAAAAAATGATAAAAATGACATTATAAAAGAGTCTCAGGAAGAAATTCAAGGCATGATTAATCCTGATATTCCTGAAGAGATCAGTGAACCTGAGACTCAAGTGAATGAAAAACTTTCAATAAGTTCTACGGGTGATAAGATAAATTTAGATCGATAAAAAATTATAATGGATAATGTTTTCGCATATAATGTTGCACTTAATCTTATGCAAAACAGTGGGGACCTTGAGCCTAAATCTGTCGAAGAATATCGACGAAGATGTGATTGGCCAAAATGGCAAGAGGCAATTCAATCAGAATTGGACTCACTTGCTAAACGTAAGGTTTTTGGACCTATAGTCCAAACCCCAAATGGTGTAAAATCGGTTGGCTATAAATGGGTTTTTGTGTGAAAAAGAAATTAGAGAAATGAAATTGTAAGATACAAGGCACGCCTTGTTGCACAAGGATTCTCTCAAAGACCTGGTGTCGACTATGAAGAGACATATTCACCGATTATGGATGCAATAACTTTTCGATATCTCATCAGTTTAGCTATACATGAAAATCTTGAAATACATCTAATGGATATGGTTACAACTTATCTTTACGGTTCACTTGATAATGAAATTTATATGAAAATTCCGGAAGGACTTAAAAGTCATTATACGGCTTAAAACAATCAGGGCGCATGTGGTGTAATCACCTCAGTGAGTACTTGATAAAAAAAGATTATATAAACGATGTAATTTGTCCTTGTATTTTTATTAAGAAAACAATATCAGGGTTTGTTATTCTTGTTGTTTATGTTGATGACATAAACCTCATTGGAACCCCAGAAGAGGTTCAAAAGGCAATCGAATATCGAAAGAAATAATTTGAGATGAAAGACCTTGGAAACATAAAACTTTGTCTTGGTCTACAAATTGAACATTTAGTAGACGAGGTCTTCATCCATCAATCTGCATATACTGAGAAAATTTTGAAGTGATTTTACATGGACAAAGCACATCCATTAAGTACTCCAATGGTTGTTCGGTCACTTGAAGTGAGTAAAGATCCGTTCCGACCTCAAGAAGAGAATGAGGAACCTTTTGGTCTTGAGGTGCCTTATCTTAGTGCAATTGGTGCACTTATGTATCTTGCTAATGCTACGAGACCTGACATAGCATTTTCTGTTAATTTGTTAGCAAGATTTAGTTCTTCCCCTACACGAAGACATTAGAATGGAATTAAACATATATTGCGATATCTAAAGGAGACTAGTGATATGGGTCTATTTATACTAACAAAGATAGTGCATATC